ATCAGGGTAAATTAACCATAATTTAAATAAACAAAAAGAATAATCATTTCAAACTAATCAATTAAGGTTAAACTTGAAAAGTTGGAATCAAAGGTAACTTTCAAAATATCAAATAAAATAAATTAACTCAAATACTCAAGCAGTGTGAGAGGAAGAAATTAAATAAATATACTGCGCAATATCAATTTAAATGTAGCTACATGATCCTATTTTAACACATTTCATTTTACAAAGTGCCCAAACACACACACCATACCAGCAGTTTAGTTACCTTAAAGCAGGGAGTGGGGCACACCCAACAGCGATCAGCTGTGACAGCCCAGGCACAACAGCAACTGTTCTAATAAAACAATGCTCCAATGAGCAATCAAGCAGCAATTGCATACCAATGTGATACTGCTATGCTAGGAACAAACTCACCAAGAGAGCAAATCAGTGGTTTCAGAGACTTGGATTATTTCCAGGATGAAATGTTCAGCAGGATGCCAACAGCCAGCCACAATCACAGTGGAACAGGTGATGTAGTTTAACCTGGCTGGAGGCGGGGCTTTAAATAAGTTGAGGAGTTTGGGCAAAACAGGAAGTGGGCCCGCAAAAATAAAAGTCTTGATTGACTAATTGCGGGTTACAGGTTCCCCCCCCTAAACTCATGTGCGTCCTCGCACATGCAAGCGGCTGGTGACACATCACACCGTCATATGATGCCGAGGTCATGGAAGTCTCATCCAGTTCCAAAGCAGATGTAAAAGCTGTACTGAGTCCTTGGAACAGCGACTGGATGCTTTGCAGAAGTGGATGCCAAAGTTTCGAATACTGCAGACGAGATGGTGGCTGACGTGTTCGAGTCAAGCATCGGACAAGTGGTTCAGGATCTGGACTAGAGAGTTCTGAAGCAGTAGAATCACTTAACATGCTGGTTTGTTCTGGAGGGGATGTAGCTTCTGGCTGAGGAGAGACGGGTCCTGATTGAGGGAAGAAGTTTTCCTCGAGAGGCTCCGAGTCGGCAGAATCTGCTGCATCTTCAGCTATTTGCTCCATGCCCAGTTTAGCAGTAGGTTCAGGTCCAGACTCTACTTCCTGTTCCTCAGCAACCATTCCTTCCATGGAGCCTTGTGAGTGCTGGCCAGGCGGATCCACAGGCATAGGAGCGACAGTAGATGGAGGAACAGGCAAGTCAACCTCAGTTGTAATTCTGGTGAGATAAGAGCTGGAATAATCAGACAAATCAGGTAAGAACACTTCTTCATTTTCAAGATCTGGAAGATCTAAATTTTCTGAAGTCACGGGTGCAATCACTGTTGGCTTTATTTGTTCTGGTTTGGAGGCTGGAGACAGGTAGCCACATGGCAACAGCAGGTCACGGTGGAGAGTTCTGATGGGACGATCTTTGCCTTCTGGTTTAACTGTGTATACTGGAAGAGTGCCGGCTTTCTTCTGAATAATATACACATCCGACTCCCACCAGTCTGCGAGCTTGTGCTTGCCTCGTAGTTTGACATTCCTAACCAGGACTCTATCTCCAAATGAGAGTTCTGCGGCTGTGACTTGCTTGTCGAATCTGAGTTTGTTCTTCCATATGACTTTCTCAGAGTTTTCAGTTGCAATCTTGTAACTTTCTTTTAGGTGTGACTTGAGATTTTCAACATACTGTGAATGAGATGTAGATGTTTTTTCAGACACAGGCAGTCCAAAGGCTAAGTCAACAGGAAGTCGGGGTTGTCGACCAAACATCAGTTCATATGGGGAAAATCCAGTGACATCATTTCGGGTACAGTTGTAAGCATGTACTAATGGCTTTACAAAGTCTTTCCAGTGAGTTTTATCATCTTCTTGCAGCGTACCCAACATGTTTAAGAGTGTTCGATTGAATCGTTCTACAGGATTGCCACGGGGATGGTAAGGTGTGGTCCTAATTTTTTGGATTCCTGTGATTTGACAGAGCTCTTTGATAGTGTGGGATTCAAAATCAGTGCCTTGGTCGCTATGGAGACGCTCTGGCATTCCATAATGAACAAGGAAGTTCTCCCATAGCACTTTTGCTACAGTTTTAGCTCTTTGATTTGGTGTTGGCACTGCAACAGCATATTTTGTAAAATGATCGGTTATCACTAGAACATTTTTGGTGTTACTTCGGTCTGGTTCTATGGAAAGAAAGTCCATGCAGACAAGTTCGAGTGGTCTTGTGGTTTTAATGTTAACAAGAGGTGCAGCTTTCTCAGGTTGTGCTTTTCTTCGAATGCACCTCTCACAGTTCTTAAGTTTGTTGCAGACATCAACTGCCATACGTGGCCAGTAGAACCGTGATCTCACCAGCTCCAGAGTCCTCTCTGTTCCTAAATGGCCCATCTGGTCATGAAGCTGGTTGAGGACCTCAGCCCGCCATTCCTCTGGAAGTACAAGTTGGTAAGTAAGCTCACCTCCAATGTTCCTTTTCCTGACGAGAACATTATTACGGAGCTCCAGACGTGTAAGCTCTCGCAGGAGTAATGGCAGATCGGGGAGCTGTTCCCTCAGAGATGGCTGTGGGTTTTCCCCTCGTTCCAACTGAGCGATGATGTGCTGAATGACTGAATCGGTTCTTTGTTTGTCAGCAATTTCACCTTCAGAAAAAGATGACACAACAGGTGAAGAGAACTGCAGATCATTAACAAAACTGTCTGGTAAACTGTCAGTGTTAATGGAGAGAGTTTGCACAAGAGCAGCAACCTGGTCCAGGTTGGGTGAGCTGTACACCAGTTGTCTATCACATATTGCTTGAACTGAGTGCTTGTCAATGGAAATACAGGATGGATGTTCCAGATGTTGTTCAGTGAACTTCAAAATTCTCTCTTTCTCCTTCAAAGATAAAGGATCAGCCACCTGTTCAGCATGAGGTCGCCGAGAGAGACCATCAGCATCTGCATTTAATCTGCCAGCCCGATAAATGATTTTAAAAGTAAAAGTTGAAAGAGCAGAAAGCCACCTGTAGCTTGTTGCATCCAGTTTAGCAGAAGTTAGCAGATATGTCAGTGGGTTGCTATCTGTAACCACAGTGAAATCAGAGCCATATAGGTAGTCATAGAATTTTTCTGTAACTGCCCATTTGAGAGCCAGAAACTCAAGTTTGTGGGCAGGATAGCGACTTTCACTGCGGGACAGACCTCTGCTGGCATATGCAATCACCTTGTTTCGCCCATCATGTTCTTGGTATAACACTGCACCAAGGCCAGTAGAGCTAGCATCAGTGTGTAAGATGTAAGATTTACCTGGGTCTGCAAATGCGAGAACTGGTGCCGTACTCAGCTTCTGGATAACCTCTTCAAAGGCCTGCTGGCAAGCAGTTGTCCAGCGTGCAGCAAAAGGTTTTTCTTGGGTCAAGGTAATGTTGCAGCTTATTTTGTTTTGACTTTTTCTGACAGGGTGGGTATCCAGCTGTTAGCTCATTAAGAGGTTTGACCACTGATGAGAAGCCTTCCACAAACCGGCGGTAATATCCTGCAAATCCAAGGAATGATCTGAGCTCTTTAAGATTTTGAGGAACCGGCCAAGATGTTAATGTGGAAATCTTGTCTGGATCTGTCTCCACTCCATAACTTGAAACTACATGTCCAAGGTAGTTAACAGATGTCTGAAAGAAAACACATTTTTCAATTGACAACTTCAACCCAAATTCTTTCAGGCGTTGAAGAACTTTCTTCAGTCGGAGTTCATGCTCTTCTAAAGTTGGTGCAAACACTATTAAGTCATCAATGAAAACAAGTACTTCTTTTAAATTCATGTCTCCCATGCACCGCTCCATGAGACGTTGGAAGGTGCTAGGAGCATTAGTTACTCCTTGAGGCATGCGGTTAAATTCATAAAATCCAAGTGGACAGACAAATGCAGTTTTATTTTTGTCTGATTCATTCATCTCAATCTGGTAGTAACCTGATTTTAGATCCAATGTGGAGAACCATTTGGAGCCAGACAGTGCTGAAAATGTATCCTCCAGTTTTGGCAAAGCGTATGCATCTCTGATGGTCTGGGCATTCAACTTTCTGTAATCAATACAGAGCCGTACTGCACCATTTTTCTTCCGCACTACAACTATAGGAGAAGCAAAGGGTGAGTTAGATTCACGTATAACACCAGACTGCAGCAGTTCTTGAATGTGTTTACGCACAGCATCCACATCTTGGGGGTGGATGGGTCTTGGTCGCTGTTTAAAAGCAGTGGGATCTGACAGCTTGATCTCATGCTTGACCTTATCTGTGCAACCAAAATCAAGATCATGTTTTGGAAAAACATCTGACATATTGTTGAGCATGGTTGTTATGCGTTGTTTCCACTCAGCTGAGAGCAGAGAGTTTCCAAAGTTGTAATTCAGCTTGGTTGGATTTAACTCTGCACTCTGGGAAGGTTGATGTACTGTCTGCTCTTTGTGAAGAATGGTCTGGATGGTACTGACTTCAGCTATGGCTGCTCTAGCTGGAATCACAATGTCATGGTCAGATTCATTAGTGATAACCACAGGCAGAGAAGCAGGCTGTACAGGAGGTAGATCCATAAGGCTAGATTTCACTATCAAACCACCAGGTAGAGAGAAAGAAGTTGGATGCTGAATAATTACTTCTTTTTCTCCTTGCAGTAATGGGCATATCAGAAGAGCATCCAACACAGCAGTTCTTTGAGCAGGAACTACCTGTGGGCTGGATGACTGCATTTTTAAAATGCCATGATAGTCATCAGTTGTTAGCTTATGCCTTATCTCCAAAATTTTATGCACTGCTCTATATCCAAAAGGCACAGGATGAAACTCAGCCTGTGATTGACAGCACTGGTCATAAACAATATCCAAAGTGTTGGTGCCAATCAGAACAGGAGGTTGTGATGACCGCAGGTCTGGAACGACCAAGGCCAAGGTATTGATGTCCATCTCTTCTCCTGCAAACTCAGAAGGAAATGTCAGACAGAGTTCCACATATCCAATATAAGGCACCCTCTGACCATTTGCACCTTCTATCTCCAAAATTTCATTTAATGATTTTATCTTATGATCTGAGAGATGGGTGTTATAGAAGGAATGCGAGATTGTGGTGACTTGGGAACCTGTGTCAAAGAGGCAATGAAAATTGATCCCTTTAATCTTCACCTCACCAGTACTTCTTGTGCCCACTAATCCTTTAGGTAATGGGAAATATGAAGATGAGTCTTTGTTAATGGGACATTCACTGGTTGCAGCTCCCACTTGTCCCTCAGTAAGAACTGCTTCTAGTTTAATGGTTTGCTTTTCTCCCAGGACTGCTGTTTTTGTTTCAGCTGGCGGCGCTTTTCTTCAACCAGGCTTGAATTTGGTTGACTGGAACAGTTTGGGGCAATGTGACCGTCTTGTCCACACTTAAAGCAGAACCAGGGCCTTGGCCTACTACTGGTTTGGCCAGATTTTGGTTTCTGTTTTTTCAGCTGATTCTCTGGTTTAGCAGAATTTGAGTCCTTGGACAACAGGGCTGACATTTGACTCTGCAGCTTTAGCATTTGCTTCCTCAAGTCTTCAATAGCACCCGAGTCTGACAGATGGCCACATGAGCATGCACTGGTGGTATGAGCTTGTACATTAACACGGTGCTTAACTGCTGGAATATGTTTTTTCATCAACATCTCTTTTGCCAACTGTCTGTCTTCCTCTGTTCTAAGTGTTAATAAAAACTCTGAAAAGGGAGGTGGTTGGTTTTTTTTCTTTTCTAGTTGAAGTTTGTTTATCAAGCCGTTATCCCAGCAACCCCTACAAAATTGTTTTAACAAATATTTGTCCATTTCAGTTGCTGGAATCCCACCACGCTTCACCACTGTACTGAGAGCTAATTGGAGTCTCTGCAGATAAGAAGAAGGTCGTTCCCCATGGTCCTGAAGCGTGTTTAAAAATTTTGCAAACAGCTCTTCTCCGTCTTCAACAGTAGCATATGCAGAATCAAGTACTTGCAAAAATTCTGCAGGCAGGGCATTGGGCCCCAAACCTCTCACTAGGTCAGCAGCTGGAGGTAGTAAACCTTCCAAAATGCGCCTTGTAACATGTAAAGGTGCAAGACTTGGATCGGCATTTAAAAGTTCTATTTGAGACCTCCAAGATTCATAATCTGCCTCATGCTGAGGTTTCGGAAGCTTTCCTGAGAAGGTACGTAGTCTAAAGGAAGACAGAGGTTGAAGATTTACATCATCTCTGCGCACAATGTGTTCAACTACAACCCTTTGGACCCCAGGAGGGTTTAGATCGTTCCCTGAGAGAGAAATTCTCGGCCCCACATTTGTAGTTGGATTTGGTTGAGTTTGTGGTCTTTGCTGGTTGGTGGTGGACTGATCTGATTGGTCTGAGGAAAGATTCAACGGCCGAGTCTGACTGGATTCTCTGTCAGTAGCAAATATTTCCACTGTGGTCTCTTCATCATCAGCCTCATCAGGCTCCCCTCCGGTAGCCGCTATTCCTAAATGAGCACCTTTTTGTTCAAAAACTCCTCTCAGAACATCATCAAATGATTGTCCACTCTGCTGGGAAATGCGTTTCAGTTCATAAAGGTAATCAGGGGCTTGGGTTGTATCCACTGTGGTTGTGGCACAGCACTCTCTTGAGAGTAATTTAATAACAAATATAACATCGTCTGCAGCCTCAGATTGGTAAATATATGGTAAAAGCGATTTTAGCTTTTCCAAATCTGCAGGATTAACAAATTCAACGGCCAGGTTTTTATAAAATGGACTCTCACGTGCAGTAACAGTAAAAACCTTAACGTCACCATAGCTGCGTAAATAATTAATGATCTCATCATCTGCTTGAGTGTTTGTTACACCACTAACGATAACAGAATGAGCAACATTAATACCAATTCCTTCAAAGAAATCCATGTTTCAAAACAAAACAAAATACATTCAC